GTGTGTGTGTGTGTGTGTGTGTGTGTGTGTGTGTGTGTGTGTGTGTGTGTGTGTGCCTAATCACTGACTACCATATACCAAACACAAATGTGGTTTACATGGAGACCAAAACATCTGCTCAGAATAGTGTAACAACAATAAAGCAGCAATTGTTCTATTTTTAAACCAGAGAGAAGGTTCACTTAGAAATTTGATCAAACATCTGCAAACACTGAACATCATTGTGCATTTTTTTAAAATAAAGTTAGACTTTTCAGAGGTAGCACATGAGTTACACAGAACAAAAAAAATAGTTGTGGAGAAAGAGATCAGATTCTGTACTAAAGTAAAATAATCAGAGAAACAAGGAAAAACATTCAAAAATGAATTTTAGGTTGAAGTATAAATGTGTTGCATTATATTTTAAGGCATTTTTTTAAACCAGTTATTCATATCAAATGATTTTTTTGCTGTTTTAATTGTACGAATGAATACATCAACACATAAGGTTGAATACTACGACATACTAAACCACTATTGTTAAACTGACAGTTTTTCTAATGAGCTAAAAAAATATCCTTTTGGAGGATAACCAGCAGCAGATTTACTCTAATTATAACCACTTGAAGTGATGCTGCAGGAAACATTTGTTTGTTCTCCACTGCAATGCCTGAAACATATTTTTACATAAACTCATTTGATGTGTGTATTTTATATCTATAGTCTAAACCGATTAATCGACAGGGTTCAATGTTTCCTTTGTCAAATGTCATGTAAGAAAATTATTGTTAAATTTAATCTACAGGGTGGCCCATTTATATGGATGCACCGTAATAACATGGGAATGGCTGGTGATATTAAAGTCCTGTTTGTGGCACATTAGCATATGTCAGGGGGCAAACTCCTCAAGATGTGTGGTGACCATGGTGGCCATTTAGAAGTCGGCCATCTTGGATACAACTTTTGTTTTTTCAATAGGAAGAGGGCCATGTGACACATCAAACTTATTGGTAATGTCACAAGAAAAACAGTGGTGTGCTTGGTTACAACCACAAACTGCTGGCTGTTCATCTCTGGTTGCATCTTTAAGTTCGTTTGTGTTTGTCTCCACCTTGTGGTCAATTTATTTTACTGCAAACCAGTTCACTCTTCAACAGAAAAATGTTCTGACAATAAAACAATAAAATGGGTGAGTTAGAGTTTCAAGAGTTTGTCTTTTTTTTTTTAGTATCACCTGATGATGACATCAGTTGCTGTCTCTATAGACTGTATAGAGTAATGCCATGAGACTGAACATGGAGAAGAAATCACTCAGTTGTTGGTGAAGAAATAGCACCAGGAAATTATTTCCCAGGTGGCTCATTCTAACTTGATGGCTAGTTAAATGAGATATGATAAAACTCAGGATAGAATAATGACCTGGGCTGTGTCGTATTGTGCTAATATGTCCCGAATTACAACTAGTTAATAAGCTGTCAATTCCAAAAGATCCTTTACCTTAAATAGAGGTCTCACCAAAGTGTGCAAAAAAAAGATGTTTTGTGATGGTTTGCTGTGCAACGGAATGTGCTAAAGCAATCCCTTTACACGACATCTCTGCAAAGGTAGTGACCCAAGTATGAACTGCTGAATATTAGACAAAGCATATAAAATTTATGACTTGTAGGTTCATACACAATGATGAATGCAGTGGCTCAACTTTATGTTGTTTGCAGTGCAGGAGTTGTTGGTGGGTTCCATGGGAAAAGAAACACTTGTTGGCTACTTTAGGAAAACTGGTAGGGAGGGCAGGGGGGGGGAATTAAATTCAGTATGTTCTGGCTCTGAGAGTTATCAAGGTAGTTTACACTGCATAATTTGCTCCAGGGCAAGAAACAGCAACATTACAATACCAAGCTTAGAAAACTTGCAAGGGGAGATAGTTATATTGCTTTCATCTCTAGCTCTAAATTGCTCACCAAGTGGGACACACCTTCTGTGGTGTCACAGCGAATGAAACAAAAATCATAAACAGTGAGGCTGGGGGAGTGAGACTCATCTGTATGTAGGGATGGGTACCGGTTCTGACATAAACGGTAGTAACCAGACCGAAAAGCAGCGCACATTTCGGTGCTTTTTTTCCTGAGCTGTGATACACTTTAGATTCCAGCCAATCATTTTACGTTTCCGAGGATAGTAGGCGGGGCCAGGTACGTACGTTCTGTTAGAGCAGAGCTACAGATTAAAAATGTCCAAGGCGAAGCGGTCAGAAGTCTGGCTGTACTTCACAGCAAAAGATGCAAACTCAGCAGCAACAAGTGCTTTAAGCTGATACTGTGATACTGTCAAAGGAGGTAACACCTCAAATCCGATGAAACACCTGGCGATGCATAGCGTTTTTTATAAAAGCCCAGAAATGCACCGTATTTGATAGCTTGCTGCGAGACCTCACACCGAGCACATCTACTGCGGGTGGGTTGCCTGTTATGCAACATCCCCCAAAAACACGAAGAGGAGAGTCCTGGCCCCTAGCCCTGCCAGTGTAGCAGAAATGATGACGGATGATGGTGGCAGCAGCCGTTCTTCTCTGCGTGAGTAGCTAATTTACGTTGAGTAGGCTAACCACGTTATTACATTAATGCATGTAAGGTGAACTAGCAAACATCATCATAGCTACATGCGGCTGTCCTCTTGTTTGATGGCAGATACTCCCTTCACCCTGGCCAAAAAGGCTAAAATGACCAAAGAAAAAGTGGAAAACAGTTAAACATGAGAGGTTTAGGACAAAGTTTGTGTTTTTTCCATTGTTTAAGCACTGCTTCCAGCCAAGAGTGATACCATATATGCCCCATAGCTGCAGAAAAGGCTAACATTGTTATATTTTTACAAAAAACAGCTGAACATGAGAGGTTTTTGGACCAATTTTGTGTTCTCCATTCTTTAAGCACCGGTTTGAGCACCGTTTGAGCACCGGCACCGTTTCAAAAGTACCGATTTGGCACCGGTATCGGATAAAACCTAAACGATACCCATCCCTATCTGTATGTGTCAGTGCAATCAACATGCTACCAGTTCTTGCAGAAAATTAAAAAAAGAACTGAAAGCTAGTCTGAAAATGCAAGATGGGTTGTTACGATATTCTTATCTAGCCTCATTGTTCTTGTGGTTAAGAAGATTTGGTCTGTACAGTTCTGTATGGATTTTGTCAAGTGAATGGCTCAGGATTCAGATTAATCCCCAGGTTTTTCAGAGCCCAAAGGGACATCCAAACAGGAGCTGATTTGCTCATCATCCATCACTTTGTCCCTTTGGCGGTTGGTTGCTAGAGTTGATTGAAGACTGCAGTTGCCTAGGTAACCCTGTAATATATTAACATATCTATCATATGTCAGTCAGTTGTATCCTTTGTTTTCATTGGTAGTCGCTCAGTCACTTGCCTCAAAGTTAAACTTGGGATATGCCTACTTTCTATCACCAACCTTTTCTTCACCCATCATTGGTTGACTTTCTGTGGTCTGTGGTGATGTGATCACCTCATCTCTGCACACTTCCTGTGTGAACTCCCTTTAGGAAAAAAAAAACTTACGAGCTCATGACACTTAAATTTAGGTTTCCATTTAGGGCTACAACCACCTTCAATTGCTTCATGAACCAAGTGCCTCCAAACTCCATATGCAGCCACCTATTTGGATGATGTCATCATTCATAGCAACAGCCTGGAGGAGTGGGGATGAAGTCTTTGAAGCAACATGGGCTCAAGGCCAAAGTACAGAAAGGTGCAGTTAGAAAGAAATACAAATGGAAATCTGGATTAAATCAGTAACATACTAATGTTTACGGTAATAAAAGGTGGCAGCAGTAATTTCACAGCATAAGTGTACTGTCTTTTTCTAATTTGCTCCTATTTATAAATCACAGACTACCAAACAGCCAACTTTGAAGAAATGAAAAGACTGACCCAACAAACATGCTCTGATAAACCAAATGTACACCTTAAAATGAAACGCATCTCTGCTGTGATGATCCACACAAAATAGATAAAACTCAGGTCTGAGAGCTCTTCTTCTGAGAAACGTTTCAGGGGACCATGAGAAGATTCATCTAAATAAATACAGAAAATCACAAATTCGACTGATAGATGAAGTACTGGTATGCTGAATGAAAATTACCACTTCCACCTTCGGCAGGCATTAAGCAACATTTTTTAAATACCCAACTAAAAGTTTCGTGTGTTTTCAGCCTCACTTGGAGAAAAGATCTCTTTCCATTCTGGGGAGGAGGGAGTCTCTAAAGAACTGGTGGGAAGAGGAGAAACAATAGGAGTTGCCAGTTTATAAATAAAAAAAAAAAACCTTCAACGACCTGATCCACATTCTTGGTCAGACTTGGTCTTGAGGAACCTAGCTGAGGCCATCAGGAGTTAGCATGTATCATCTGCTGAGATTCAAGAGCACCCATCAACCACAAATTCCCAGACCCATCAAGGAGACTGGACAGGATCACAGAAAGAAGCTTCAGAAAACCCTGAACACATTACAGTAGGATCTGAAGCTTCTCAAATAAGTTAAAGAAAATTGTGCTAAAAGAGCACAACACATTAAGGCCCAGCAAGCAGCGAAGGAGATAAATAAACAGTTTTAAAAGCTTCTTTGGTTTCTAGAAGGCTAGGCTTGAGTGAGGGAAAATTATTTAAAAGTACAAAGATTTTGGATCTGAGCAGAGAGACGCTCAGATTTGCTCTAGTGCTTGTTAACAGCCCGACTGGCCCACAGGAAGAAGTTTTTTGTGAGTCTGGAGATGTGGGACCTGATTGACCTGAGGCGCTGATCAGAGGGCAGCGGGTCAAACAGGTAGTGGGTGGGATGTAAGGGGTCACCTGTGATAGCCCTGGCTTTTCTGACACAGGAGGATCTGATGATGGCCTCCAGGGTTGGCAGAGGTGGATCCATGGGTCCAGGTGAGATCAGCAGACATGTGGGTGCCCAGAAACCTGGACTTGTAATGTGTTTATTTTACACATCATCATCATCATTCAGTGTGTGAATGGGTGAATGACTGGCTGTGTAAAGCGCTTTGGGGTCCTTAGGGACTAGTAAAGCGCTACACAAATACAGGCCATTTACTTCTGAGTCGAAAATTTCAAAAAAACAAAAAAATCTGTTAACCATCCAGTAAATATACTCACTGACTGTACTTTTAACTTCTCCATCTAGTGGTTGATGAGATTTACTGCAAACGTTATCAAGTTGCAGAAACAGGTTCAATATTCAATTTTATTTTCCAGTTAAGAACTGACTCACCAGTTTAGAGTTTCCAGCTGAATAGTGTGTTTCTGGAAAGGGGTGGGGGTGGGGGTGTACCTCTCAGAATGGGAAGAACATGGAAATTCTTCACGGAAAGAAGCTGATGCTGCAAAAAGTACCCCAGCCTGACTCCTGTGAGACCACACTGAGCCACTGTGCTGCCTTCTTTTACAACTCTGTAACCACCAAGATTCAGCAAAGCAACTGCTTTCTAACACTACTGCTGTTTGACCAATCAAAGTTTAAAAAAAACCTGTGAGTGATTTTTTTTATATATTTGATGTGTCAAGTTATCAAATCATTGCAATATTACAGATTTTTTAAACCAGGGTTGTCATCATTGCTGACTGTATAAAGTAAAGATGCATTTTAGCTTTACTTCAACTCAATTCTAGGATGCAAATTTCAGAGTTCATATTTGATGCATTCAAGAGAATATGGGGCTGAAACACGAGTGGAGGACTGCATGACAGCAGACACTTTATAAGTTTCTACATTATGGTTCTCTTCCTTTCCAAGATTTTTCTAGATTTCCTAACAGCCATGAATAAATGAGTTTGTTGGATTTCATTTTAAATGGCACAAAATTAAACACTCATCAGTTATCAGAATCAACTCCTCATTCTAGTTTTGGAGAGCCTTTACTAATATTTTTGCTGTGGCAAGGACAAAACTCTCTTTTGACAGGAGGAAACCTTTGGAAGAACCAGGCTGACGGAGGTGCATCCATCTATTGCGCCCTGTTGGGGGAAGGTGATTGCTGATAATAATTGTGACTTGCTGTTAATAAAATGCATTTAATTAGCATCACATGGTATCTGGCACTTCCCCTCCTGATTATTTTTTTATATGACTAATATACTAAAGTCATTGTACAGAAATAATTTTAGTAAAATTATATTGGATTGATTGTGGAATGATTTATTCTTTTTTTTCTGTTGTCTTTCTTTATTCTTGCCTATTTCCAACAACAAAAAGGTTTTTAACAGAAAAACTCAATTGCCAAAACGCATGTGTGAGACTTATTTTGAAAGGCAGGGCCTCCCATTTGCTCAACATTTGCCAAAAATTTAGCTTGTGACTAAAGAAAAATTATCAGTCAGAAACTTGTGAGGAATTTTATTAGTTGATATTAGTGCCCACAGTGGTATCTATTTGCAAACACACAGGTATGTAGGAGTTGAAAAACAGGGAGTGTCGTGTTTCCTGGCGTTCCCCAGCGTTATCTGATCCACAGCTCATTTCCACAGTGAGAAACTGATCCTGCACAGCTCGGCATTGAACAAAAGGTAAACTATATTATATCTAACAATTATCTTTTGCCATTTGTTTATACTATAAAAATATAATCTGCCGTTTTATAACTCTGGTAGGATATGTTGTTGTGACTTTTTCATTGACTGTTCTTATGGCCAGTTTGTGATGGCTGTTGTGTTGTTTCTGTGGAGCTGCTGTTTAAATAAAAGGGACTCAGAGCTTCAGAGCTAGCTCCAGCTTAAGAAGGATCAAAAAATGGACACAAGATAATTAAATTAAAATGCACAATTATTTGTAAGTATGAAAAGTTGTATAGACAGTGACATTTGTGATTTATTTGCATCTTACAGATGTTTGGTATTGTGATTCTGCTCTTTAAAACTCAAAATTAGGGCATAAACATTATCTGAGAGGGCTTCTTCTAGTTCTATGTGTTAACTATTGATCTTTCAGAAAAACAATGTCGAAAGCAACTTGTGCGTCTGTGTCAGCTGTTCTCACACTAAATTTGGCTTTCCGGGCAGGAAATGCGCGACCTGCTGACGACTCAGAGCCAGAACTCTTACAGGGAGCAGATCAAGAAGGAGATGTTGACCCGTTTAACCTGGAGGAGCCGCTATGCCAAACTCTACCCATCCTGCTACAATCCCTGGAACAACAGCAAAGAGCCCACACAGCTGCCACAGCTGCCAAAGATACCTGCTGACCCTCAGTGAGCCCCTTCATTTATTTTAAAGTGGAAGAGTGAAGATTTAAAACCTTAGTTGTCTTGAGTATCCACATGTGCTCAGCTATCATTTGTTTTCATGGTCTGGGTAAAAGCAGATTTATCTGATGTTACTGAGACCCACATAATTAGACTAAACCTACTGGGGGTAGCTAGGCATGAATGTGACACTAATATTAACCAACATTGTAGATGATTGCTGTGCAGCACTTTGGTCAGCGTCTGTTGGCCTTAAATGTGGGACATAAATAAACGTGACTTGATTTAATATTAACCAAGAGTCCAAACCTCAGAAACATGACAGATTCCAGCGACCATGACATTACACACGCATGAAAATAAACATTAACTTTCTGTTTATCTTCCATCAGGGCTGTTGTGCCTCTTGTTGCCAGGACTACTGAGAAGCAGAGCGACCTTCTTCCTCGTCGCCCTTCTCCTCCTCCTGTGTGCTCTGTGGGAGGTGAACAGCAGCTCAGTGTGCCTCCTCTAATGAGGCCGGTTTCGCCCCACACCAGAGAGGCTCTGTATCAGGACTCCTCTCACCATGTAAGAATCACTTTGACAGTCAAACTCTCTTTCATAAAATTAACATTTAAACATTTAAATATAACTATCATCACTTTTGCTTTCAGCGGAAAGCTTCTGAAGCTTTTGAAGTGTCGGAATATGGAAAGCTAACAACGTCCCTCTTACCAGTAGGCTAAGTTATTTTTAGCCAATTACAAGTTGAATCTGGTAGTTTGGGTTGTTAGCTAAGATACCATCATTAAGAAGAGGCACAACTAATGTGTCTATGCGAGCTGATTTGCGATGTGCACCGCTGGCGCGGCCATTTATTTTTTGATGCACCTTCTCAGATTAATTCACTTCTCGCGCAATAATTTCTCTGAATGCGGGATGATTCCGTTTGTACGGGACGGTTGGCAACTCCACTAACTAACCTTATGAATAAAATAAAGTTCACTATCAGTAACATCATAGCACCCACCCAGCTGTATAGAAACTGTCATGATAGCTCACGCAGTATGAGTTATTGTAACTGACTGTAAAAAGTCAGCACAACAAAAATAAACTCCACCTAAACTTGGTTTATATCTGACCCAGATGGATTGCAGGTCATAACTTCTTACCTGAAGTTCAGTTCACACTCGGACCATCGGCTGCCTCGGGTCTCTCCTCTTCGGGTCTCCCCTCTCCCTCATCCACCTGCTGGCCTCCACTTGTTAATTTTACTGAATCTGTGGAAGCTCCGCCAAAGCCACCACCAAACAACTGAGTTATTTTTACACAGCGGCCAGCATCTGGCCAATCCACCACCTTTCATTGTTTATACCGTTACAAAAAAAATCATTGGCCCACCGAGCAAATGCCTGGTATGCTCGCTGGCCAGTCCAGCTATGGTCGTGCCATCAGTTAACCCTT